GGGGGGATTTCAAAGTTAATAATAAATAACTCTAAAGCATAAGGGATTTGTTTGCCTGTTTGTATTCAGCCCAAAACTATAAAACCGGTTATCTGTGCACTGTCCACCACGGGTATCGAAACCCTAATATTATTGCTACTAGTTCTCAGACTTACCGCTGGAGGGGGGATCATAACACAAACTCTGACACATCTCATACGGTAAAGACCTTAGTTCTGAGATATTCCTAACAAGGTTGTGATAGCGATAATTAGGAAGAACTTCTTCTCGTTTCAGCCTGGAATGGACGTTTTCACAAAAGAACACAAGTAAATAGTAGCTACTTTACTACTAAACTCAAATAACCTACTTGCTCAAGAAGACCCTTAATTACTTAGGATAACTAACAAAAATCGACTGGTAATGGAGTAACTAGGAATATAAGTATAAAACAGACAACAAACGTCAAAATAGTGAAACACCGTTTTGAGATTTTGACTCTTTTAAATTGCCCCCAGTAGCACAGCGGTATGCCTGCGGACTTACAACGCTAGAATCTGGATTTCGATACCCGTGCTTGGCAGAGCGCAGAGAGCCCATTGTGTATCTTTGTGCATAATTACAAACAAACTCTTTAAATTCGTCTATCATAATATTTTTTTGTCATTTTAGTCTGACACTTTAGTCTGTCTTTCTTATTTGTTTAGAGTTGCCCGACGTGTTTTTTTTTCTGTTCCTATATTTCCATTTATTTTATCAAAATAGCTCTATATAGAAGAATATATAGAATAATATAACTCAAGTAAATGATAGAACACTCTTATAAGTGGTTGGTTTTCCGATAGGTTCAACCAAGACCTAACAGAAAACCTTCGTTTGATATAGCACTTAATAAAGTTTCATTTTTATTTTACATTATTTTGTTTTGTATTCTCGACTTTTAATCAGATCCGCGCTCTATTTTTCAAAAATGTAATGAACTATATATATATATATATAATTAACTTTACAATGCTACCTAGTTGTATTTACGTGACACATTAAACATATTGCAATATACAAGACTTAAACCAGACCATCAAGTATGCGACACGAAAAAAATTAAGTTAATCCAGTGTTTTCAGCTTCATGTTAATCCAGTGTTTTCAGCTTCATGTTATCCAGTGTTATCAGCTTCCTGAGTAATACATTGTTGTCAGTTTCTTGTTTATCCAGTGTGGTCAGCTTCCTGAGTATTACATTGTTGTCAGTTTCTTGTTTATCCAGTGTGGTCAGCTTCCTGAGTATTACATTGTTGTCAGTTTCTTGTTTATCCAGTGTGGTCAGCTTCTTGAATAATACATTGTTGTCAGTTTCTTGTTTATCCAGTGTTTTCAGCTTCATGTTAATCCAGTGTTGTCAGTTTCTTGAGTAAGATATTGTTACAGTTTCTTGTTAATCCAGTGTGGTCAGCTTCTTGAGTAATACATTGTTTCTTTTCAATTCAGTGTTTTCAGCTTCTTGTTAATCCAGTGTGGTCAGCTTCTTGAGTAATACATTTTTGTCAGTTTCTTGTTAATCCAGTGTTGTCAGTTTCTTGTTTATCCAATGTGGTCAGCTTCTTGAGTAATACATTGTGAAATAAATACTGAATGCATAAGGAATTCAGGTGAAGTATATTAGAAGGTCGATTAAAACTGATATTGGTACAAATTGATATTATCTTGATTTGTTGTTAAATATCAACTTACATCGTATTCCAAGTTTATAGTTATTAAACTTAATAAGGTGTGATACATTTTAAATACATTAGCCAGTTGTTAACGAATCAGACAGACTATGATATATATATATACTAAAGCTGTCGTGTTGGTGATAAGTTTGTAATGTGTGTACTCTTATTTTACCCGTATAGTTAGTCACTAAAGTCATGTGTCAATTCATTTTTACTTAATATATTTATTACTGCATAATGAATACATCCATTAGTACTAAGAGACTACTGAGAGAAGTAGTATGTTACATAGAAACACAGTTGAAGTATTCAACATAATGATTTGGTTTCAAGAAAAATGTTTTCTCATAATAACCATATTTCAGTTGAATACCTTTTGTACTGTGTAGTATTATACACGAACTTTTCTCT